AAAATTAAATAAAAATAATCAAATTTTACTTATATTATACCAAAATTAAAATTAAATTATTAATATTTTTCATTATTATCATAATATCAAAAATTTTATTTATTAAAATAAATTTTTAGAGAAAAAAATTACACGTGCGTCATGCACATGCCAAAAAATAATATATATATTAATATATATTTCTATTATAATAATTAAGATAATCAAAGTATCTCAACTGGCTAATGGTATGTAATGCAAGTACACATCATATCTAATGCATAAAATTTGTTAGCCCATTAAGGTAATTTGCTGAATATGGATTATTCCCCCTCAAAAATGAAACTATAAAGGTTTTATTAGATCATGGAGATTTAATCACATGATGCAGTATTTGATAAAAATTTATCAGATGGTACGTATGCTAGTTAGACTCCTGACATTGTATGTTAGAGAAAATTTTGACTTATCGGATAAAAATTGGAAGGTCAAAGATAAATTAAAATTTTTTTCAAAATGTTAACGTGCTCTAGAGTCCCATGATCCTATGATTCATAGAAAATGTATTGTTAGTTATTATATTCATACCATTTGTGAATTCTATGATAGTCGAACAAAATATAATTACGCATTTACAAATTAAGATATTAATTATGAGATCAATAATATTTTTCAAGAAAAATAGAAAATAATAAGAATTTTCCACCATGTAATTCTTTATTAGAATTAAAACATAAAATAAACGTTTAAAGTACAGCCTTAACGAGTGAGTTTATGTATCTTTTATGTTTTTCTTATTAACAACCTAAGATTGTCTTAGGTGAACGAAATCTTATGGTTGGATGGGGTTTTGTTCACACCTATATTGAGACTTTTATAGGGTTTAATTTATTCATTCCCTGCAAGGAAAGATTACATAATGAAATTATAAATCCAACTCTAACATTAATTTGACCTAGAAGCCTCCACCCATGTCAAACCCCAAATTTTGTCACATTTTCCGTAGACAATTGACTATTTCTAAATCAACATTAATGAGACTTTTGCATTTTAATTTATTGAGGAGACAGCAAGTTAGAGACACAGTCTCCATTATTTTTAATTGTGCAATGGTGGAATAGGTAAAGTTAGTTGCACAAGAAGCCATTTGTCACATTTCTGCTGAAAGGTTTTGTTTAGGGTTTTCATATTTTACATATTTAGGTTTTTGAAGATTTTGACATTAAAAAATCAATTAACCTAATAAATAATACTTGAGAATGTGAACAAGATGGTCTAAACTATAAAATAAAACTGCCCATATTCAAATATTATAGTTAATTAAAGAAATTGCTGGCTCAAAAGTGTTATATATATATATATATATATACATGGTTGAAAAAACACTAGCTCGAAATCAAGTTCCGATATCCAGCCTAATATTGCCAAGCTCATTTAAAACTCTTCTTGTTGACAGGTTAATTTTAGCCTTTAATTGATCATTCATTTAGATGCCTTTATTATTATTATTTGGTAAAAGTTTTAAATGGTTTTATTTATTTAGTTCAAAAAGAAGATATAACCCTTACAAAGAAAAAAAAAAGGCGAAAAGATCATGGTACCAAGTCAAAACTTCTATATTCACATAAAACTTCTTTGGTTATTAGTTATTAGATCAAGAAATGGAGGACTAAATGATTTTATTTTTTATTTAGAAAAACGTTTAAAACCTCTTTAACAATATAAGTCTTAAGGCTTGTCATTAATATTAAACTTGAATTTATTTATTATTATGATGATAATTTTAAAAAAAGAAACAGAAAATGAGTGAGTCATCAAGACTTACTTCCAAAGAAGAACTAGTAGTGTCCAAAATTTAAATATTCTAATCAAATAGCCATTGGCCCATTGCTTGGTATTCCTGTAAAATTGGAAGGATAGAAGGAATTTATCTAAATAAATGTACATGTACTAATATATTTTTATTTGTTAATGGTGTGTATATGAGGTTGATATATCTTAAAACTTTTTTGAGAGGCTGTTGATTACGGTAGCTGAGCCTAGCTAGCAGGCTGGCACTCACTTTAGAGGGGGCAACTCTTAAATTATTCAATTATAAAAAACATATTCTTCTCTCTTTATTTTCTTAATAGCTATAATAATATTATCACTCATATATTTGTATTCTGGAAATCTCTATATGTTTCCGATGTTTATTTTGCTTGAAAATATTTAATTAGATAAAAAAATTTTTTTAAAGTGTTCAAACAATTGAAACTTGACTACTTACAAAATTTTTTTTTTTAAATTATTATTTACTTTTACATATTTCGTAATATTTGTATATAATTGGTTATTTAGATCATGTTTGGTATGTTTTACATAAAATATGATAAGATAAAATAAAATAATATTATAAATAAAATTATATTAAATAATATTATTTTGTTTTATGTTTGATGTATATAAGAATTATGATAGAATAATTTATTTATTTGTCAAAATTATTCTTCCTTAAAGTTTATATAATTTAAATTATTGATATAATTTTTAAGGGTATAATTAAATATGTAAATTTAATCTCATATATTAAAAATATTGCTTTTTACTTGGGGAGGATTGAATGATCCTATATCAAAAAGATATTAATCCTCCTTATAATTTTTATATCTCTTTTTATATGTAAATCAAATATGATATAAGATAATTATTATTTTATTTTATTAGTAATCTTATACATCAAACATGATCTTAAAATATTAAACAAATTAAATCTATCATTCAATCACCTCTAAAAAATAATATTTAATAAATTTAAAATTTAAGTTTCAACAATATTAATTATTTATTTATAATTATTTGAATTTAATATAAATGAATAGGATAACAACATATATTTATTTACTATTCATTGTCGTCCTTATACCTAATGCATTTTCAATGGGTAATTATATGGCTAGAGAGGATCAAGGCTAAATTAAAAATTGAAAAACAAAATAGGGAGAAATTAATTGTTGTGGGAATCCCTTACAGGAGGATGTGATAGGGAGAATCTCACAATCACAGGAAAACAAGAACAAAGCAGAAAAAGAGAGAGCGAAGTGAAGCATATGTGCCAAGTCTATCCCCAGCTAACCTTTTGCATGCTTTTTATTTCTTCAAGTCGTACAAAGATACCATGCCCATTACATTTCTACATGAATATGAATTCAAGGCTAATATATTGATTAACATCTCTAACTTAAAAATCAAGAAAATTTTTCACATTAACCTTGCGAAATATCTGCATGAAGACAACAGGATCGCTAGCTTCCACGGATGTCCAATCTATATTTAGGATTTTATTCCCCCATTTTTTGGTAGGTACAAATGGAAATGGAACCCCTAGATGTGCTATAAAAGCTGGCTAGGGACAAACAAAAGGAAAAACTACTACTTTCATGGTTAGCTAACCAATTTGTCTTTACAAAAATGCAAAGACACAAATTACAAAATAGGAAATTAAAGCCCTTAATTACCAAACCACGACATTAGTTCAATAGTTGTTTTTTTATTTTAAGAAGACTAAAATTCAATCGATTGACCTTTGGATCAATTAATATGATTTTGGAATTAGTGTTTGAAAATTATGAGTTTGAAGGGATTTATGCATAAAGTATAAAAATAAAAGTTAAAGAGTAGATTAGGAATTTGAAAAAAAAAAAAGAATAAAGATAAAAAAATTTAAATTACTGTACTGATTTTTTTGGCACGATGATTATTCTAAGTCAGTTTTCAAGTCTCTAAGGTTCTTATTTCTTCCAGATGGCTTAATTAATTTCATCCTGATGATATTAATGGTTTACCAAGGCTAAAACTTATATTGATTAAATGATTTAACGGCTCATCAGCCTAAAAAATTCGAATTTTTTTCCCTTTGAACTTAATTAGTAGTATACATCTAACAAAGAAAAAAAAAGGGAAAAAACAAATTTTCACTAACAAGAAATTTTATTTCTATTCAATTTTATGTTGTAAAAAAAAAAAAACAAATTCCTCTTCAATGTATGGTAAATCGAAAATGTTGTTTTTTTTTTTTTTTTTCTTTCGCTGCTATATCACAACTCCATCTAGCTATGCATTTGGACATTAATATGATTTTTGATATAATAATATATATTTGAATCTCCCATGGACTAAGTTTCCATTGCTGATGTTATAATAATATAACATCTGGGGTTCTTTTTTCTTCTTGTGCTTCATGTAGAGGCTTTTTTTTTTTTTTAAGTTTTCGCTTACTCAAAGCCTAAAAGCAAACAAAGCCTAATATGGATGGATGTTAGTCAAAGGACAGGTGCAGCTAGTTGGATGGGGAAAGATTTAAGTGAAGTTTATGAAATTACTAACAAAATAATAAGTAAAAGAGATTAAAATGAATAAATGTCTGTTTGTTCAAAAAGAAAAAGAAAAAAAAAAGGACTAAGATTTTAATATGAGAATTGCTACCATAGTTGAACATTGTGTCAAGCAATAAACAGTGGGAAGCATGGCGTGAATTGATTCAGTCAGTCAAGCCCAATGTCATATCAGGCATGCAATTTGGTTGATTAGATTCTAGAGGGGAAAATTCAGTTAGAGAATTCACTAGCAAAAGGTTAAACCTTTTGCATATTGGAAAAAAATATATTATGCTTTTTTTTTTGGCTGGTTGGTGATTTTCCTTTTTCCTAGGAGTGAGTTTTAAGTTTTGACTGAAAAATACATTCGTGAGGACTGGGTGAAAGATAAGAGTGGAGTAAAAGAGAAGCAAATTGATATGTTTGATTGAGTTTTGCCCTTGACATAAAAAAAAATTCTATGGACAAAGATATTTTATTTAATTATTTATTTTTAATTTTCAAAATCCATTTAAGATTTTTCAGTTTTTTATAATTTAAAAACAAAAAATTATAAATATTAAATTTTAGAATTATTAAAGTATTATATTTTAAAATAATTATATTAATCATTTAAATTAAAGTCCGAGTTTAATTTTGTTTTTTCTTTACTTAAGATTCCGAACTTTTGATCCTCCAAGTGCTTGTTTCTTTCCTTTCCTGTCTACATCAAACCGCCTTCCCACTTTTTTTTTTAATATATTTTGGCTTCTTTCTCTCCCTTCTGTTCTGTTAGCTTATAACTCCAAACTCCGCCTCTTTAGATTCTTCAACTAAGTGGTTTCAGAAAGAATTCATTCATATCTTCCCAAACAAACTCTTCCATTTCTATTATTTTTCAGCCTCCTGATTTTCTCCATGACTGGGAAAAGAAACCAAACCAGCCCCATCGGCAGCCCGTCATCTGGGAACATCTCGGATACTTCTTCCAAAGAACAAGACCGATTCCTCCCCATAGCTAATGTAAGTCGTATCATGAAAAAATCCCTCCCAGCAAATGCAAAAATATCCAAAGAAGCCAAAGAAATCGTTCAGGAATGTGTGTCTGAGTTCATCAGCTTCATCACGGGTGAGGCTTCTGATAAGTGTCAGAGGGAAAAGAGGAAGACCATAAACGGCGATGATCTTTTGTGGGCTATGACAACACTGGGTTTTGAGAATTATGTTGGACCTCTCAAGGTTTATCTCAACAAGTACAGGGAAACTGAAGGAGATAAGAATTCCATGGCTAGGCAAGAAGATCAGTCTCCAGCTAATGCTGCAATCAACCATGGTAGTGCGGCTAATGCAGCGGCATCAGCTACGGCTACAGATAATTTCCAGGGTTATAGCAGTGGATTCTTTTCGCTTGGGGCTCAAGTTATTCATCATCCTCTGAATTATGGAGATCATGGAGGAAGAGGAATCGGCTATGGAGAGAAACTGGTGACAGCTGATTCTTTCAACACAAGCAGGATCCGAGAAAATGAAGATGCAAATGGTAATAGAACCATGGCATCTCATCTCCACAGGGTTGACTGGTAGTAGTTAAAGACTTGAAAATCAAAATACTACTATAGTTTTTTTTTTTTTCCCTTTAACATATATGTTGAATTTTATTTTTCTTTGTTCAATTTGATTAACTATCAAATGACTATATATAAAACTTGATTAGAAATTCTCTTGCTAAAATTATAGTTAAAAAGCAGAGTTAAAGCTTTATATATGTTCTTCTCTAACTTTAATTTGATTAAAAATTCATAATGATTAGAAACTATAACAGGGGCAAGGTTTCAATTATCTATTCTGCAGATTCCTGGTTTTGTTATTTTTTTAACAAAAAGATCATAATTTGAAAATTAAAAAAAAATATAAATGTTAGAATTTAAATTTGAAATTTATTTTATATCATTTAATAAGTGATGATGTAAACTAATTAAACTAAACTCTTGGTTCATTCTTATATTTGATTTTAACTATAATTAAATTAGTAAGAAGTTGCATTTCTTATATCTGTATATGTTCTAGATTCTTTGACACTTCCACTTAAGCAGGATGTTTTCTAACATTAGATTGGTATGGGCTGATGGCTAGCAAAAATTTCAGGAAGAGATATTTTTAGGTCAGTAAATGGAGTTGATTTAGGGCAGTTTGAGAAATTAATTGCCTTTAGCTCGCTAGAGATAGTCACCTGTTATTCAGAACTAATTTTGATACCCAGAGAGTCAATACTGCCTTATTAACAGAATATTCTGTTGACTTTAGGAAGCTGGCTGCAACTTTGTTTGGTGAATATTTTATACAAAATCCACCGTTAATTACAAAATTATAACCAAGAAAATAAAATAAATTGAACAAACATATAAATAGATAAAATGACCATATGAAGTAAAATGCATACTTTTATAGTCAATATGCAATTTTAGAAGAGGATGATAAGCATCCAGTTTGTCATTCTTACCATTTTCGTTGTCTAATATGATATTAAAGACGGTTTAGTAGTTTAAAATTTAACCTGATTTCTTTATTTGTGAAATTAAAATATTTAATAATCATTAAATACGAACTTAAATTATAAAATTATAGATGCAAACACTTTTCATTGATCCGCAATTCACAAATTAAAAAAATTTTAATAATTTGTAATATTATAATATGTAGTGAAATTTATTTTTTTATTTATGAATCTGATTATTAAAAAATAATATAATTTGGTTGTTTAGACCAACCGTGCCTATAAAAAATAATATATCAAATAAACATTACTATAAAATAGAATAAAATAAATTAATGGGTGCAAATATATATAATACAGAGGTTGTACAACTGTAAAATAGTTGTACTTCTTCCCTTATTTAAATGCAATATAAAATCTGGCATTAATTGTAAAGTTTATTTCATATATAAATACAAGTCAGATTTCTCACTCATACTGCTTCTCTTTGAATTTCCTGCATGTAATAATGCAAGGCAGCAGGGAAGAGTAAATGAAAATGAGCATCAATTGCTGGATTTTTATTTATTATATGAGCTACTTCAAACTATGGTTTAGACCAAGGAGTCTAGTAAATTATGAAAGGAGCCCGCAAAGGCAGAACCACCCAAAACAAAAAAAGAATAATTCAAAAAATTGCCGATCATGCTGTTGTCGTAAATGAAATTAGAAATGGGGATGTGACATCTAGAATCCTAAAGATAACATCCCTGAATCATGACCGCAGTGGACAAGTGACTGAAGATGAGTTGTTATTGAACTTCTAATCATGAAATGTACAAATATAAATTGGAATTACTGGAAGTGAAGTTGGTTATGATTTGAATTCAAATTCAACAAGTGACGAGAAAAAAATGAATGAAATTTATTAAGCAATGTTCAGTTTAATGATTTCAGTTCTGCATTACGAGCAACATCATTAACTATTTGAAGGGCTTATAACCACCATGGGGATCCACATGAAGTTCCAGTTGTTATGTCATATCTAACTAAAAGGAGATCCACTTGGTTAGGAGCTTCTGGCCAAACAGAATTATACAACTGGGATTGAGAGGACAAAGAAAAGCCATAGATTGAGAGATAAACTATTGTAAGGAACAGAGGAAGTATGTAATTCAATTGATTTCCTAGAGAAAAATCCAAAACACTGGGAACAAAAGAAGTAATCCAACAAAAAGTAGAGGTGCTACAGCATATTTGATAAACCATGCCACCATCAAATCCATTCGGCCAAAATAAACTTGTCCAATCTTACCAGGTAAACACATTTAAGCCATTATTACCATTCAGACACTCAAAGCAAACCGTGTGATCACTACTTATGATCGATATAATTCCCCAAGAAATCAAAATGCTTTAATTTTTTATGTAACAAGCTCTGATAAGAATGCCATGACTAGATATAAAGAAAATCTTCTCAGAACTAATACAAATAACTTTATGTATGAGAAATAATTTGTGCTCACCAAACTAGATGTTAAAACTAGCTATAAGGCTTCATTTAACAAAATAAATAATTACCAAAAAATAATACCTTGTTTAAAGAATATATTTATATATATATATATATGTATATATGCATATATGAAGCAGTAATTCATAAAACCTTACCTTAATGATACATCAGGAGTATCCAGAGTTTGAACAGGGTAGATTATAAAATCTCATGTTCTCAAATGCTGCTTTTGTTTCCTTGCTCATTTCTTCAATGGCTTTTTTGCAAGCTTCTCTTGCCTATAACAATGGAATTGGCCAAAGTAATCACCATATCCAAATTCATGCTCCCCAACCAAATATATTTTCTTAAGTCAAGCAATGTTGCCAACAATACACCTGCAGATTACGTTCCTTTACTTCTCAAACTTTCTCTTTGACAAACTCCTACAAAACCAAAAGCATGTTAGGTTGAACTAGTAGTTGGAAATATATGAAATCCACAAATTATTCGTGGATCTTCAAAAAGAACTTCACCTTAATAGCGTCCTTTTGATCTTTATCAAATTCAGCTGCCTCAATCAGTTCCTGCAAATTGGTAGATATAGTTTAGTACCCAATTCCTATGACAAGCAAATAAACAGCCAAAGCTTAAAATGATTGACTAAAGTCTAATGCATAAATAACTGAAACTGAAACAATTCCAAGCTACCAATTCACATAATTCAAACATCACAAAAATCATGCTAATTAGATTATAACATAATGACGAAAGCGTTGTCTTACATCAAGTTCATCCAACTCCCAATCAAATTCACAGAAAACCTACAAGGACAGAAAGGATGGATTTACATAATATTTTGCAGAATAGATGCCACATTTATCCCAATAAAAATGGTTACAGGCAGTATAGTCAAGGATTGCCTCGACACCAAGGCACAACACCATCTAGCAAAGCACCTCAGACCCCTCAAATCAAGATACTTTGTTAAGGTGCAAGGCATGCCTCAAATAAACTGCTTTTTTGTTTTCAATTCTTTTCTTTTAATGATAAATTTTCATTAGATTAAGGACAGTTCACGATTCAAAAATAAGTAGATTATGTCCATAAAGCTAGACTAATGATGCTGGTTAATGCTTGATCTCTGTATCAGGCAAAGGAGTAGACCGACTTTTCAACATATACTAATGCATCTATACTTCAGGTTTACAAGTATAAAAGAGGCATTGGTACATTTAGAAACCCTACCTCCACGAGGTTTGAAGTTCAAACCTCCAAGTTTTAACTGTTGGGAGTATCATAGATAAAAACGTAATAGGTAAATATGCACGTGTGTATGGTGTGAATTAATCTTTTTAGCAATTAACTCTTTGCTTCACTCATGCAAGCACCTTTTTTGTGCCATGAGCCTTAAAATGGTGGCTTCAACTACACTAAATGCAACAGTTCATTTATCAAAGCATGATAAGCTCAACCTTTAAAACCAACTCCATCCATCCATTAATATCCACAAAACCCAGTGTCACTCATAATTAATTTTCTCAGAATATACAAAACCCTTACCGACTTCGGTTCTGCTGGAAAAATTATTTGAACGTCGGTGCTTTATCCAAGCTCATCTTCCTTCAAAGGCTGATAGAAATCTGTTAAAACAGGTATGCCAAAAAACATAGCAATAAATAAGGGTTTGTTCCTTCTTTTTTTTTTTATTATTTTCCTCGTTGACAAGTCATTAGAATAGGCAGTGTAGAATAGGCTGTAGACACTGGATTTTGTCCAAATCTATCATTTTCAATTCTTGTTTAATAACAACAATAATAATAATGATGATGATGATGATGATGATGATGGTTTAATTAAAATTAAAAAAATTAATTAATTTAAAAATTTTAAAAAGAAGAAGAAGAAGAAGAGACAAACAAAAAAAATCCAAATAGAAGAAGAAACAAAGAGGCAAGGGCTAGTGCTAATGGGTGCCGTGCATGGTACCACTAGCCACCCGCGCCTCTACTCTAGCCATCATGCCACCCCTTGTCCAGTCTCCTCACTAGAGCACTGTAGCTCCTTTAGCACTCCCTATTTCCCAAACACCTAGTCCCGCTAAGCTTAAACACACCTAAGGGGGACTCTCGAACTAAAAAAAAAAAAAAAAAAGAATAGACACAAGCACCCAAGCTTTTCCACGCCCAGAAAACCCCGATTCCTACATATAGAAACTGTAACTTTTTTACATTAAAAAGCCCTCGCAAACAAGTCCTTAAACACCCAACCAAAAATACCACAGAATAACACATAGTCCTTCCCGTAGGGAGGAACCTCAGTGCCAAAGCTCTTCTGTAATAAAAAAAAAGAGATTGTCAATTTGAGTTTAAAAAAAAAAGAAAAGAAAAGGATAATAGAATCCTCAAAACCCGATTTGTTCGTATCTAGATTGTTTTTGACAAAAAAGACATCGAATTTGACAAAAGGAAGCCGAGAAGAGCTTCTGAAAGGTTTTTTCTCATTTTTGGTCACCAATGCCCACCAACAATCGCTACTGATGATGAACCTTAGTAACGGCTAGCCCGACAGCAAGGTGCCAGATTCTGGCGAGGTAGAGAGATTTTTCTAACCTTTGAAACTTTTTTTTTGAGAAAAGGATGAAAATGATCTTTAAAAAAAGTTGAATTTTATATAAAAAAAAGCCCAAAATG